GGCGGCGCCTGCAGGCGCGGGAAGCCCGGGGGGGGCCTCGGGCTGAGATTGAGGCGCCACGGGCTGCGGTGCCTCCGCAGCCACCGCCGGCGCTGCGGCATTGCTCGCTAGCGTACTATTACTATATGTTTTCCTTGGAGGAGCGCGTCCGACCCGAACATATAGCATGCCCATTTGTAGCATATCGTTTCCCGAGCGGCGTGGCCAGAAAGCACCCGCCACGACGCGTATGCTCTGAGATTTCTCGTCGCGCGCGTCGCGCCAGGGGGTGCGACGCGCGCATTGTGCAAGTATGTTGGAGCGACGCCGACCTCATCCTCTTTGCCCCAGATCGCCAAGAAGCGAGCCTTGCAGACGTCGCCGCGCCCCGTCTCGCGCCTCATGCAGCAGGGGCGCTCGGGGAGGAAGCCGCGCTAGTCGAGGCAGGCCTCCGCGATGTAGCGCTTCGGCCTGGCCGCTGGGGCCCGCGCGCCTAGGCGCGGAAACCGCGGGGTGCGCGGCACCTTGTCCAGCAGCTTCTTGTTCCGCCGCTCCCCCTGGACCTTGCGGCGGGCAGTTCTGGCCAGGCGCACCTCGTTGCCTAGCGCGATGATGCGCTCGTCGGTCTTCCAACTCTCGCCCAACCAAATGCGCGTTGTCCAGCGCTCGTCCCGGGGCGAGAGACGAGAGGCATCCCGGGCCCGGGGCCGCAGGCGCTTTCCGAAGAGGGCGATCTTGCCGTTGCTTGGCCGGCCTTCAACCTCTCGTCGGCCGCCCGTCCGTCCGCGCGCGCGGCGCATGCAAATGCACCGGCCGCGGTGCCGCGCGGGCCAGGGCGCCAACGGGTGACCAGCGTGGAGCTCGACCTTGGCCTCGCTCCTCAGGTGCAGCACCATGGCCCCCAACAGATTCTTCACCTCCCTGTTCGTGTTTTCGACGGCGCCCATGGGCTCAGGGGAGTGCCTGGGCTCCATCTCCAAAACCGCGGGGTCCGCACGTCCGATGCGGATCGCCCCCGCCAGGGCCTCGATGGCAGGCTCGCCGTCGACCCGCAAAACTATGGCTTTCCTACTCCAGTAGCCGATGTACTCGATGACGATGCGGATCGCGTGCTCGACGGGCCCCTTCTCGCCCACCTTCAGCGGAAGCACCGCCCCGAGCTCCCGGTCGCACGCGTTCGAGATCGTCATCGTATCGAACGGGGGGTCGGACGCGAACGCGTAGCCCATCATCGCGATGGGCTTCAAAGGCATCGCAACGGGCGAGCGCGCCCGATGGTGGGGGTCGTCAGGGGCCGCAACTCGCGAGCTGCAACTGCGCCAGCACCTAAACGGGATGTGGGTCAAGTAGTGATCCTCCTGCTCGTGGTCCGAGGGGCCGACGGGGGCCTTCGCGGATCGGCGCGGCCCTGCATCCTCAGAGGCGCCAGAGAGGGGGGGGGGGGGGGGCGCGCCGAGGCGCCTCCCGCGGGGCCGCCGGAGGCACCTGGGGCCTCTACAGGCGCAGCGTCTGCCGCCGCGGGGCCTACCGCAGGCGCGGGCCGCGCCTGCTCCGCAATCGCGGACTCGCCCGCAGTCGCCGGATCTCCCACCTCGACGGCCGCTGGGGCGGGCGCCGCGCATATCCCCCGGGCCTGCCGCCGAAGCCTCAGCCACGGCACGTCCGATTGCATGACAAGGTCGACGCAGCCTCCACTAGCCGCGCGGAGCATCTCACGCTCCGGAACGATGACGACAGTCGCCCCTCCGCGTCGCAATGCGGAGGCCGAGAAGATCAGGCAGTTCGCGTTAGTCACGTTCCACGTGATGGCCAGCTCCTCCCCGTTGTCCAGTGCGTAGGTGATGTTCTTGGTGCCGCAGTCGATGATGGGCTCACTCGCGGCACTTACCACGGGGCCAAGATCCCCACGAGGACGCAGCATGGGGACATCAGGGGCAGAAGCAACAGGGCACGCCATAACCCCCGACCCGGAGCCCAGCAGGGCAAACTCGACACCACCATGGGCCGCCGCAGCAATCGTGCCAGCAAGCGCCATCATGTGAATCGTCAGTGGATCGCCCACGGCTCGCCCTGAGATGAGCTGCGCGTTGCGCCGCGGGCCTGGGGGAGACCTGCAGGCGGCGCGGGTGGGGCCGGCGGCGCGGGGCCCAGACCTACGACGACGGCCCCTGGCGGTCGAATGGAGCAAGCGCCGCGCGGCGCTCCCCCAGGCACCGCGCGGGCTGGAAGAGCGTCGCGCACGCCGCCTTCGTGGGCATCGGCGCGCCCTGCGCGGGCAGTGCCAGCTGCAGTCTGGCGCTGCTTCTGCCCCCTGCTGACCCTGCCGCTGCGCTCCTGCCCCTCCTCCTCGGGCCTCCTCCGTCACTCTGCGGGCTCCTGCCCCTGGCAGTGGCTTGCCGCTCGCGTCCACCTTCCCAGCCTTTATGTCGGCCTCGAGCTTCCTGCGCTCGCTCTTGGCGCGGTTGGGCTTCCCGCAGTAAGCGCACCCCTTGCCCGCGGCGGGTTCGGAGTGTCCCTGGACTTGGCCTTGCCTTTGGGGACCTTGCCTTCCCCCTTGGAGTCTTTTTCTTTGCCCTTGGAGGTCTTGCCCTTGCCGTTCCTGGCGGCTCCGATCACCGTGGGGTCGTCGACGTCCTGTGTCCAAGTCCGCTTGGCCACGGCGAAGTTCAGGATCTCCGCCCGCAGCTGCTGGAACGCGCCCAGACGGGCGGCGTTGATGAGGGGGTGGTCCCGGACCCTGGCGTTCTGCATGCCGCCCACCAGCGTCGAGATCTTGACGCCCTGGTCCAGCAACTTCCCGCTCTGCCCCTCGCAGCGCCTGACGCCCCGCTCGGAGCCATCGATCTCCTTCGCGAGGTCGCCGTTCGGATGCTTGCCGAACTCGCGGCGCAGAAGTGCACGCAGCATGGCGGGCTCGCACGTCCGGCTCGCGCCCCCAGCGCAGCCGTCTCCAGGCCTCGGCGCCGTTGCCCCCCTCCACGTTGTGTAACTGGACGTGGGCGTCGCCCGTCGTCATCGCCAGCATGTAGTACAGCTGGCGGCTCAAAACGGGCGTGGCCTCGTCGAGATCGTGACTGTCCACGACCCGGGCCCCCATCACCTCCGCCATGCTGGCATGCGCGGCGCAAGCGAAGGCGTGGAAGACGAAGCGGAACTCCCGCCACGCCTCGCGGCGACCTGAGAAGCCCGCCGGCTTTCCCAGGGTCCGCGCGTCCACGGTCGCGCCGTCGCGCCGCCAAGGCGCTCCAATAGCGGCGGGTGCGGCGCCGCCGGGGGCGCCGCGCGAAGCTGCGCGAGCTCGGCTTGCGCCGCCTGCAAGCCTTGCTCCGCGGCCTGCCCGCGCTGCTGCTGCCGCTGGAACTCCTGGGCCAGCTCCTGCTGCCTGGCCTCCATGGCCTCCAGCCGCTGGGCCAACTCCTCCATCGTCCCGGCCAGCACGACGCTTTCGAGCGCCGATGGGGCGCCCGCTGCGCTTGCTGGGCATGCGCGGCCGCAGACCGCGGGGCAACCGCAAGTCGCGGAGCCGCCCGATGCCTAGGTGGAGCCGCGGAATCAAACCGCAAGCTCCGCTACCATGCGCGAGTATGAAACTCGCGGGAGTGATCGCAGATGGGAAAGACAGACTAGGACGCTCTTTCCCTCCATTCTCGGATGCTTGAACCAGGCCAACCGCGGGGCCGGTTTCGCCGTTGGCTGCACTGCTAACTACAGCACGTCAGGAGTTAGAACTGTTATAGGAATGCTCCTCTACTATGTTTCGCATTGGGCTTCAATCGCTACACATCTAGGCTCTGGAGCTCACTTGCGCGGGCGCGAAATTTATGCCCGCGCACAACGCACCTTTCCAGAGTGCGCGCGCCCGTACGATGGCGCTATGCGCCCACAGCGAATCAATGTGTAGGGCGGTGATTCAAGAAAACCGTATTGAGCCGACTGGATCTGCCAAAGGTTCACAGGATTCGATGTAGAAACCATTTTCGCTTACTACCCCCATCGAATGTTTTGAACCATGGGGTTGGCTGGAGTGCAAAGTGCCCGAGTCTCAAAAGAAACAATCGTTTCCGATGCGAAACCAAGCCAAAACCAAACCAATGCAACAACACATGTTGCCCGAGACCCCGTCGGAAGCCCATGCCAATCAAACTTCATGGCGTACAGGAAACTGGTGCCTCACGCGAAACCTCGTTCTCCTAATTCGGAATTGGGATCAAGAGCAATGTTCTCCTAAATTGGACATCCCCTACCACTTGACAAATATAGACAAACCTGGGAACTCCTGGCCAATACAACGCTATTCAATTACCCCTCGGCGCAATGCTTGTTTGTGTGGCGGATCTGCGCATTTTTTTTTTTTGTGTTGCAGATTGACCAGCTGATTCTTTCTTGTGGGTTTTTTTACACATGCAATTCCGTCGTGGCGGACGTACACATTGATTTCTGCTGTAACGGATGTAAGCGTTGATTCCTGTTGTGGCGGGTCTACCGATTAATCCCGTTTGTTGCGGATTGCAACATTGATTCCCGTTGTGCCGGATGTGCAACATGATTACTTGCGCGGCCGATCTACCAAACAAAAACGCCTGGTGCGGCGGATGTCACATTGATTTTTGTGCGGCGGGTTTACACACAATTTCTTGTGTAGCGGGTTTACACAGTGATTCCTAGTGCGGCGCGCTTGCGAATATTTTCCTGCTGCCGCAGATTTGCATGTTGATTTCTTGTGTGGCCGACCTGCAAAGTGATCCCTTATATGGTGAATAGCAGGCGCGCCGCTTCCGCAGCGGGATCTCTCTCTCTCTCTCTCTATCTCTCTCTCTCTCTCTCTATAGATAGAGAGAGAGAGAGAGAAAGAAAGAGAGGGAGGGAGAGAGAGAGAGAGAGAGAACACAAAAACAAACAGAGAGAGAGAGAGAGAGACATAAAAAACCCAACATGATGAGAACACGAACGAATTAACTAGAATGCTATGTTTCCCTTTCGTACGGCGTCCTCTTGTGGCCCCCTCCCCCCTGCGCTGGCGCCATGTTCCAGTTCTCGTGGCCGAAGTGGACCTCCAGTGGCGGCGGACCCCATCGGCCTGACCTCCTGCCTGCCCCCCGCCGGGCGGCGGGCCCCATTAACCCCTCATTGGCTGCAATAGTTTCACCGACTGCGGCAGGCCGTGCAAGCACAGCATGCCCCCAAAAACATGCGAAAACATGCCGCCCCTCTGCTCTTGCTGCTGCATGGAGGCGGGGGAGTGCAGGGAGGCACTGTCTCCCGCCCTCTCCTGCGGCAGACGCTTCTCCGCGTCCACTCCTCCTCCTCCTCCTCCTCCTCCTCCTCCTCCTCCTCCTCCTCCTCCTCCTCCTCCTCCTCCTCCTCCTCCTCCTCCCCTTGCCTCCCTTGTACTGCTGTGCCTCGTCCCTGCTCCTCCTCCTCCTCCTCCTCCTCTTTCTCCTCCTCTTGCCTCCTCCTCCCTGTGCCTTGCGAGGCCGTGCTACGGGGGGAAAGCCATGTGATCCACATAGTGGCTTTTCTGACCACGGCACGCTGATGAGCGGCCTGGAAACCAGATGCCCTCTTGAGCCCAAAGGGGTCAGTATCTCAGAGCCCTGACTGTACGGCAGAGGGTCGACGCCACAGCAGGACTGAGGCGAGGAAGGGGGTAGAAGGGGGGGGGAAGGGGAAGGGGGAGGGGGAAGGAGGCAAAAGGAGGAGAGCGTAGGAGGAGGAGAAGGAGGAGGAAGAGAAGGGAGGGGAAATAATAGGAGAAGGCGGGAGGACGACACGAGCGTTGAGTAGGAGGCGCGGCTTTGCATTGCCGGGCGCTGCTCTGCGTTGCATGCAAAATTTTGTGCGTTGCTTTGCGTTGCCTTGAACAGCTGTGTATATTGCTTCGCATTGCGTGGCACTGCAATGTTTCTCATTACTTCGCATTGTTTTGCATTTCGTGTTGTTGTGTTTGCCCTGGTGTGCAGTGCTGCGCACTGCCGTAGACTGATGTGTGCCGCATAGATCGCGCCAGCTAGATTGCATGAAAGCACTGTTTCGTGCCAGCGCAGACTAAAAATATTTGGATGTGTGGATATTCTTATATACATACATATATGTGTGTATGAATATGTATATGTCCCTAAACGGTGTTGCACTCGTTTATCAACACTCACACATGTTCAGGAAACCGTCCACCACACTGGACATGATCGGCACGCGCGTGCGGGGATTATTCAAACATCGTGCGTTGCGTAGGGATCTAGAGTTCGAGCTTACAACATACGTAACAACAACGATTTTGCAATTTCGTCGTTCAAACAAGTCCGCGCGAACGCTCGTGCAAATTTTTAAACAAATTACACACATTCACCATGTTCATCAAATGCGGCCGAGCGGGCCCCCCGCGCGCGCGTGTCGAAATCAATCGAACGCCCTTGCAGCGCGGCCTGCGAAACTCGCTGGGGAGTCCCCAGCTGTCACCGCCACCGCGGCCGCGCCGGTCGCGCCAGACTAGCTGGCCGCTCCGCGAGCGAGCCTGCGTGCGCTAGCGCGGCCACAGCGATGCGCCAGCCAACGCAAAGCGGACATTGCCATCGCAACCGCCTGAATTTTGCAAGCCCAAGTGCGTGCGGGTGGGTAAGATGATAATGCGAACGATGTGCAACTTACATCGATTTCTGTATCATCGCTCATTCAAACCATGCAACCGTACGATTGCAGCCCAGCCAGCATCGACCCCCCAAACCCTATGCAAAAGACACTATGCGCGCACACTCGCTTATCAAAAACCGTCACTGTCAAACTCCGCTGCAACAAACAAGACAAACGGGACGAAACGCGCACGCGTCATCGCGCGCGCAACCAAAACCATCAAAAAAACCCGGGTGTCCTCGACACCGATTAACAAACATGTGGTTTTGCAACTCGACTTCTCAAACAAGGTCTGCGCGCGCGCCCTGTCGACTTGGTACGAACACTAGTGGTTGCCCCAACAATAATTCGGCCACTCGTGCGTGTCTCGAGCGCACCTGTCGAACTCATTCGAACGCCGTTGCGCGTGTGCGGGGGGGGGCGGGGGGAGGGGGGCACGATTTCTGACAAATCACATCGTGCGGGCCACTCGCGCCCGTCGGCCGCGCGCGCATGTCGAAATCATGCCTGGAACGTTCATCAACGACACGTGGACACCATCATCGTCATCGGCGTGATCAGCATCGGCGCCGTCATCGGCCTTGCCGTCGTGATCGTCATCGTCGCCGCAAGCATCGCTACGATTAGCATGGGATGATTGGGCGACTAGTGGGTTTGACATCTCATTGTGACTAGCAAACGCTTGCGCAGCATAGCCTGCACCAGAAATACTGCACAGCAGAGATTGCACCACATCGATTGCACACCATAGATGAAACAACACCAGAGTGAGGCGGCCTAACGGTAATTCACTGCCCCCGGGCGCGTTGCTGAAAAGCGGTTCTGCAATGCGGATTGTTGTTACTGCGATTGTTATTGTTATTGTTGTTGTTGGTGGTGTTGATGTTGATGTTGAACTCTCACTTCTGACGAACCATTATTCTTGATCCCCCTTCACCGGTGCATACTGTGTCCCTCGACGCTCGCACCCTGTTTTTTTGACAGGGAAACTATTCCTGTTCAAACTGGGCTCCTGGGCCCCCGGATTACAACAACAACGGCTCCCGCCTGAGACGCCCTCCAGATTTACTCAGGACCCCCGCTCCTGAGACTTCCTCATAATGTACTGAGGATCGGTGCTCCCACCTGTGACTCCCTCGCAATTTAGTCAGGACCCCCGCTCCCATCTGAGACTTCCTCGCAATTCACTCAGGAACGGCGCTCCCGCTTGAGACTTCCTCGCATTTGAATCAAGACTTCCCGCAATTGAATCCAGACCCCCGCTCCCGCCAAAGAGCCCTTCACATATTATTCAATAGTTGCGCTCTCGCCTGCGATTTCCATGCAATGTATTCCGACATCGCGCTTTCGACGCTCAGGAAACACGCTGCGCCAAGGACGCCGTTACAATTTATGTAATGATCGCGCTCTCGCCATACTCAGGCATCCCGCTTGAGTGTCCCACCCGCCCGACCCGCCTGTCAGGGGATCGCCCGCCCGTCGTGGGCTCCCGCCCGAGACTTCCTTCAGGAACGGCGCTTTCGCCTAAAATTTCCTCGAACGTTCACGCTCTGATATTCCTGCTCCGCCTCCCTCTTTCATCCTCCCTTCTCTCCCCCTCCTCTCTTCCTACATCTTTATGCCTCTCTGCTCTGTCCCCTCTCCCTCCTCTCCCTCCTCCCTTTATCCCTTCCCTCTCCTGCCTCCTCCCTCCCTCTTTCTTTCTTTCTTTCTCTCTCTCTCTCTATTTCTCTCTCTCTTTCTCTCTTTATCTCCTCTCTTTTGTTCTCTCTCTATCTCTCTCTCTCTCTCTCTCTTTCTTTCTCTCTCTCTCTCTCTCTCTCTCTATCTATATATATATATATATATATTTCTTTTCTCTCTCTCTCTGCCTCTAATCAACCGCCCCCCTCTTCGCTCCTTCTCTCCTGGCGTTTTCCCTTTTCCCTCGCCCCTCCCCCTCCCTTCCTCCCACTCTCCCTCGTTCTCCCCCTCCTCTTTGTGCAGGGCCCACGCCGATTCCAATGGCGGGCACATGTACGCCCACGAAGGATTGTCCGCCCGTTCAGGATTGCCCGCCTGTCTAAGCCCGCCGCCCCCCGCAAAGAGAATGACCCCCCCAAAGGGTGTGACCGAAGACAAAGAAGGCGGGTATCGAGGGTGTGGGGAACTCGTTTTGAATGACACACGGGCAAGTAAGAACGAACAATCCTAGAATGGTTGTTGCTGTTGGTGTTATTGTTGTTGGTGGTGTTGTTGGTGGTGTTGTTGGTGTTGTTTGGTGTCGTCGTCGTCCCCGCGACCCGGCCCGCGACCAACCCGCGACCCACCCGCGACCCACCCGCGACCTGATCCCCACTGGCCCACTGGCATCGAAGAGGCCTCTGACCTCGAATAAACCAATACACGGTGGCGGGGTGGGCCGAAGGCTGGCTATACATGTACTCGGGCCGCTCTCTCTCTCTCTCTCTCTTTCTCTGTCTCTCTCTCTTTCTCTGTCCGTCCTCCCAATTCCCCTTCTTCACCCCTCCTCATCTCTTCCCATATCTCCCCTCCCCCCTCGTCCCATCCCCACCCCGTTTTCCCGCGGGGAGAAACCACGGAGGCAACGGCGCTTTCCCGCGCGCGCGCGTGCCCGCAAAGGCTCTGGTCACCGAGCTTAGAGGAGGGAGGACGAGGAGGAGGGCGCAGGAAGGGAGAGCAAGCAGGGGCCCGATGGGGGCCTGGGCTTAGACAGCCAAGCGCCTGCTTCCGCCTGGCTTGTTGCCCAAACACCCAAAAGGCTCCGAGAACCCTCCGAGCACCCTATTCATGCCATGCTTGCTTGCGTAACAAAAACTATCCAAAGACCCTTCGGAATATCATCAAAAAGCCTCCTGGCACGGCAACCCTCAGAAACGGGCAGCCATGGAACAAAGAGACGGCCCTCGTCCCCTCCTCCTCCTCCTCCTCCTCTTCCTCCTCCTCTGGGAGACCAAAAGGTACCGATACCGCTACTCCCCAGACTTACCCCAGGGTGCGTCCTGACCAAAATTTCGAGGCGAATCCAACGGTGGCGACGAGGGCCTCCCAGGACGCCCACAAAAGGGGAAAAAGGCCAAGGGGGTAGCCTCCTCCGACCTGTGGCCCCTCCCCTCCGACGAAAGAGCGCCGCGAGGGGGCGGGCGCGAGGACCGACAGCCCCTTCTTCGGCCCCAGCAGCCGGTGCGCGGGCTTCGGCCGTGGACTGCGGCTGGAACCCGTGCGTCGGGCAGAGCGCGCCGGGCTGATGGGCGGCGTCGAGGGGCGCAGGTGCCCCTGGCGCGGGGGAGGAGGAGGAGGAGGAGGAGGAGGAGGCGGAGGAGGAGGAGGAGGAGGAGGAGGAGGAGGAGGAGGAGGAGGAGGAGGGGGAGGAGGAGGAGGAGGAGGAGGAGGAGGAGGAGGAGGAGGAGGAGGCGGAGGAAGAGGAGGAGGAAACACCTATAACGTTTTGAAGGACATCCTGGATGCCTCGCGCGGCAACTTAAGAACCGATAAGTCGGATCCACGTCGGATTTCCGTCGGGTTTACGCGGAGTCACGTCGGATTGCGTCGGATATACGTCGGAGTGACGCCGAAGCATCGCCGCACAAACGTCGACCCACAGCTTACGGAGCTGACGTGTGGACTAGGTAATACTACGATTACGCGCCGCGCGAGGCCTCCAGGATTTTCCTCACAGGTAACGGTACCGCTACGTACCCTTCCCTCGTCGCCAAGGCTGGGTTTGCCTCGGGATCCTGGCCAGAACACGTAGCTGGAGGGTTTTGGGGAGCGCGTGGGCGGGAGGGTGGCGGAGGGAAGACAACAGGTGGAGAGGGAGCCGTCCTCCCCACCGCGCTGCCTCAGCATCGAAGGACGAAGGGTCCGAAGCCGCGGTCCTCCCGCTCGTGATCCGGACCTGGGGGCGGCGCAGGAAGCCCGGCAACGGGACGAGATGGGATCAAGACAAACTTTTGTGTTTGTCATGCTCAAGAACAAGGTGTGCATGGCGGCGCCGCCAACAAATTACATCCGCGGCGGGAGATGGGGGGGACCTATGGTGAGCATCCCCTGCCGCGCGCTTGCCCGCGCCGCGTACGGTGCACTCCACATAAATCTTCTGACCCTGGGGCGGTGAAGGAAGAACTGGCCTCTCGCCCAAGGCTCTGCACGGTTTCCCCCGGGGCCGTAGGCGACCCGAGGAGGCTGAGGAGGCGGAGGAGGAGGAGGAGGAGGAGGAGGAAGAGGAGGAGGAATAGGAGGGGGAGGGAAGGGGGAGGAAGAGCAGGAGGAGGAGGAGGAGAAGGAGGAGGAGGAGGGGAGGAGAGGAGGAGGAGGGGGAGGAGGAGGAGGAGGAGGAGGAGGAGGAGGGAGGAGGAGGAGGAGGAGGAAGGAGGAGGACGAGGAGGAGGAGGAGCAGAGGAGGAGGAGAGGAGGAGGAGGAGGAGGAGGAGGAGGAGGAGGGGGAGGGGGAGGAGGAGGAGGAGGAGGAAGGAGGAGGAGGAGGAGGAGGAGGAGGAGGAGGAGGAGGAGGAGGAGGAGGAGGAGGAGGAGGAGGAGGAGGAGGAGGAGGAGGAGGAGGAGGAGGAGGAGGAGGAGAGGAGGAGGAGGAGGAGGAGGAGGAGGAGGAGGAGGAGGAGGAGGAGGAGGAGGAGGAGGAGGAGGAGGAATGCGAGGAATGCGAGCATGAAAGACAACGGGAATCTAAAAACAAAACGGGTTAATCTGACCCCGACTCAGAGCCCTGGTCTCCTCTGCCGTTGCTGCCCCCACGGGCAGCCTCCAAAAGACGGAGGGACAGGGACGCGACTCTGAGCTCCTGGGCCTGGAACTCCTCCTCCGAGAGGGGGGGAGGCTCAAGGGAGGACGGAGCGGGGACCTCCTCCTCCTCCGACGAGCCCCCGCCTGGGGCGGCACACGCCCCTCTGCCAGGCGGGGAGGGGGCGGGGGTCTGGCTGCTGCAAGCCCCTGCCCCTCCCTCCCCGCGGCGGTCCTGCGGCGGCGGGGCCATCTGTCCAGCGAGGCGAGCGACCATGGCGTCGCGGACAAAACGCGGCGGCCCCCCTGGGTGGGGGTATCGGCCGCTCTGAATTCTGGTGAGGTTCTGATCCCCTTTGGAGCTGGGGGTGCAGCGACTGACGAGCCACCTTGGGTCAGGAGGAGGAGGAGGAGGAGGAGGAGGAGGAGGAGGAGGAGGAGGAGGAGGAGGAGAAGAAGGAGGAGGAGAGAGGAGGAGAGGAGGAGGAGGAGGAGGAGGAGGAGGAGGAGGAGGAGGGAGGAGAAGGAGGAGGAGGAGGAGGAGGAGGAGGAGGAGGAGGAGGAGAACGGGTCGCCGAAGACCCTCGGAGAAACCCTCCAGAAGGCTCAAGCGGCACCAGGCGAAGGTGACCTGTGGTGCACGGCTTTCGGGAACCGCGGCGGGGGCAGACCCAGGCACCGCAAGCCTCGGCGAGGTCTATACGTACAGTCACCCGCAAAGAACGCCAAGTAAGGAACGAATGGGCTTTCTTTGCCGCGGCCGGCCCCAGCCTCGAAAAGGTACCCCAACCAGGATCTAAGAAGTGCCTGGGAACTACAGCTCATCCTGAGCCCAGAGTGGCCCATTTCGTCGTCCTGGCTGTCTACATCGCCCCCATCGTGGGCCCAGGATGGGCCTGGCCCGGGACGGTGGGTATATGCAGATCACGCCGCTGGAACAGGGAGCTCGGGGTCGCGCCGCAGGCGCTGAACCCGAGCCCTTCGCGCAGCGACGTCGAGAGGGAGAGAGAGAGAGAGGCCCTGGGATCCTGGCGTTGCAATATGTTCGAGTCGGGCGTGTTCGCATACTTCTGGCCTCCAGCACCCTCACAAATCGCTCCAGCTCGGGAACTGCCGCGGCAACTTGGGGTCCAGAGCTCCAGTCGCAATGTTTGACGGCGTTGCAGTTTTCCGCGTCGTCGGACCGCAGGCGAGATGGAGAGACAGAGCGAGAGATGGATCAGGCCCCTCGAGCATCCTCGAGTCGAATCCAGCGATCGGGGTGGCCCGCACCAGAGGCCACCCCGGCGAGGGGTCGCTCCTGCGCGCAGGCAAGGGGAAGCGGGGCGCCAGGGGCCTATGGACGCCGCGGCGGCGGGGCTGCTCGCGCGAGAGAGCTGCCGAAGGACGAAGGCCCTGCCAGTGCGCGCTGGTCGCGAGCCCGCGGCGGCCCGGATGATCTGGATGCGTCGATGCGGTCGGGGCCAACCGCGAAGGGAAAAACTATTTTTTACCAGCAAAAGGGAGGGAGCCCAGTGGCAGAGTGCAGGGGGACAACACGATACGACGACGAAAACGATGGACGACAAACGAACGACAAGCGCGCGGGGCAAGGAGGGGGGGGGGTAGGGGCGGGAGGGGGAGGGTGCGCGCCGCGCCCGCCCTGGAAGAAAAACTGCACACACGCACACAAACTTTCGGAGGTCCGCGCGGATTTGTGTAAATCGGCGCTGGACGACACAGCGACATACCCAATCTGCAAAGTCAAGTTTAGCACGAGATTGAGAGCGATCGCCCATTTGAGCGACAAGCGCAGGACAAAGTGTTCGTCCCAGCTTTCCTCGGTCACGCCACTGTGTCCAGATCTGGTGGCTGAGCTCGATCGCTGGGATGGTGCTGCGCGACGGGCTGCATGGACGGACGGTCACACGCAACCGTTGTCTTCCCAACGGGCCACGACTAGAGACGGCAAGCGAATGGGTAGAGTAACCATGGCTTGAAGGCTCTGTCTGTACTTTAATGTTTAGCGCTACGTTGAACTCGAGACGCCTTTGGCAATCCCTGCTCGATAAAATAATAATCGGCGCTGGATGGCCCCCTCCCTGGCGGCGCCTTCGGCCCAGCCCCTGGCGCGCTCCGCGCGCCCATGGAGGGGGGTCCAGCACCGGTCCAACCAATCCGCGCGGAGCTCCGACGAAGTCTGAATTTATGTTGTCATTCTACACCGAAGGGGTGCAGGGTCAGGATGCAGAGGCCCGGGCAATGTCAGGAGGGGGGGGGCTCAAGAAGGTCGCCACGCCCTCCGGAGGATGGAGGTCCAGGATCGAGAGCACGACGAGGTTGTTCAAGGATCTGGGAGCTTAGCTTCTGGGAGGTGCTGGTGGTGGTCCCCCTTGGCGTTGCCTGGGAGGCCCTCGGGCGTCCTGGGCACATCGGGTCTGCAAGTGAGGCTGGTCGGCTGAGCCCGGCACAGGGCAAGGATCTTCGAGGCATCCCTGGCAGAGCACACCGTCCTCACCGAGCCAGGATCTTCGAAGCATCCCTGGCAGAGCACAACGTCCTCACCGAGCCCCCGGCTACATTTTTCGAGCTGCCGTCGGCCCACGCATCCCGACCCCAACGTGAGGGTGGCGACCGCAATTGAGGCCAGACTCAAGGCTCCGGCTGCTAGATCCTCGGCCTGGCTGCGCTCTGAGTTGTTTGTTGTTCTCTCTCTCTCTCTCGCTCTCTATATACTTTCTCCCTCTCTCTCTCTGTCGTTTTCCCTCTGTCTCGCTTCATCTCTCTATCACTCTCTTTCTGTCCTTGTCTCTCTCTCTCTCTCGGCCTCTCTCGCTCTGTTCGCCTGCACGATCGGGCGTCAGAGTGGCGACAGCTGCACGCTGCCGCTGGAGGCAGAGCCCGCCGCCCTCCCGGCCATCGCGCCAGGATGGCCAGGCAGGTCAGGCGGTGACGAGCCTGCGCTCACGGCATCCGACGGCGACCGAAGCGACCTGCTTGTTGGTGGAGCCGCGTCGCCGCTCTGGCAGGTCGCAGGCCACGGACCAGGATGTCGCTCTCCCGAAAGCGCTGGATGAGGCCAGAACAGGAGCCATCACAGCCATGCCGTCTGCTGCGGCACAGGGCGTTGAAGATGTGCCCACCGACTGGGAGAACAGGGTATAATCATGACGTAGAAAGCGTCTGAAACAGATTTGTTATCCTCCCGCTTTTCGGAGGCGCAGAACAAGGAACAGCTGCTCGACGATTGATGGATGACGGCGCCCAACTTGGGATAGAATCTGGGACTCCCAAGAATCATACTTTCAACGACCGATAGGTTCCGGGTGCACCGTACTATGCACGACTCCCCCGCTTGTTGCGGGCAGCTCCATATCGGGTGTCTGACTCGGCTAGATCGTGTACATAATATCCTCTGCTCGCACACTTGTCTTTCTCGTCCCTCCTCCCTCCTATCCCTTCTCTTGCCTTCTGCTCCTCCTAACCCTCCTCCTCCTCCTCCTCCTCCTCCTCCCCCTCCTCCCCCTCCTCCTCCTCCCTCTGCTGCTGAGTTGTTGGGAATGCTTGCTCCATGCACGGGGACCCCCCCCTGTAAGTACCTCGCTGAGGGGCGCCCCAGGCAGGCTTCTGGCGCGGAGCCGAGGCCCACCATCCGTATCCATATGCGCAGGGGCATTGCAAGCTCTTGTGCGCACCATCGACTGGGATCCTGCCTCCTCCTTTTCCCTCCTCCCTGCCGCCCGCGCGGCTCGGCCGAGCTGCACGGTTTCCCCCGGGGCCGTAGGCGACCCTAGGAGCAGGAGGAAGAGGAGGAAGAGGAGGTGGAGGGGAGGAGATGGAGGTGGATGAGGGATGAGGGGGAGGAGGGAGGAGGAGGAGGAGGAGGAGGAGGAGGAGGAGGAGGAGGAGGAGGAGGAGGAGGAGGAGGAGGAGGAGGAGGAGGAGGAGGAGGAGGGAGGAGGGGGAGGAGGAGGACGGGTCGCCGAAGCACTTCGGAGAAAACCCTCCCCCCCGTCCCCTCCTCTCTGCCGCCTCCCTCTCCGCTCCACTCTCCTCCCCCTCTCCCCTCCACTCTCCTCCCCCCTCTCTCCTCTCATCTTCTCCCTCCGCCCCTCCTCTCCCCTCCACTCTCCTCCCCCTCTCCCCCTCTCCCCTTCTCCCCTCTCCCCCTCCCTCCGCTCTCCTCCCCTTACCTCCTCCCTGCCGCCCGCGCGGCTCGGCCGAGCCCCGCAGCCGACCGGCTTGGACGAGCCGCTGGGCGTCCGGGCGACGAGATACTCCGGCCTCTGGGGGCCCCGCTCGCGCGGCCCCTCGGCGTCGTCTTCGTCGCCCTCCGCGCGGCCCGTGTTCCTCCTCGTCGCCCTCCTCGTCCGCCTCCTCCGCCTCCGCCTCCGCCTCCGCCTCCTCCTCCTCCTCCTCCTCCTCCTCCTCCTCCTCCTCCTCCTCCTCCTCCTCCTCCCCCTCCGTCCTTTTTCCATACAAGCAGCTTTCCCCTACCGCACCCCCAGACGTGTCGCTGGAGCCGCCTGGGCGTCTCGAATGAGACTTCCCCACCTGTATGTTCCTGAAGCTGGAAATTCGCAAAATCCTCAAGGATGGAGGGCGGGTCGTCTTCAAAGTGTAGCTCTCGCCTGAGCGCCGCACGCATTTGGTTTAGAAGTTTGCAGTAGGTTCAAGGAAGGAAGGCGGATAGTTTTAAACATGTGGCGGTCGCGCTAGCTCTGCGCACGGGCGCGTTTAAACTCCAACAATTTTCCAAGATGGAGGGCGGCTCCTGTTCAAAATTCGGTTCTCGCCTTCACGCCTCGCGCATCCGTTTTCCAAGCATTGCTGGAGCTTCAGAGATCCGAAGAGGAGAAATCCCAGGGATGGGATGATCTTCTGGCACGATTTGTGATTGTCCAGAAGTAGCAATCGCGTTGATTCCCGGTGCTACCGTCCCAGGAATCGAATTCTGGCACGATTTGGGATTGTCTTTTCTCACGCACACATGTAGCACAACTTGATGCAGGAAGTGAGACTGAAAACCGCTGGGCGGGCTGGGAACGCCACGCGAAATGTCGCAAGAGGGAGAAAGAGCGGGAAGACCGCGGACGGCAACGCGGCCCATGGGCACGAGGAGAAAAGGAGAGAAAGGACACAAAACGAGGAACGATCATAACAACAAATACGAACTGACAGGGCGACACTGGCAACACAAAGGCCTAAGCCCTAATCGTGCGCCCTGGACTGGAGAAAAAGAAACGAAGAGCGAGAGTTCGTGGGTGTGAAGGCCGATTAACAACGGCGCGCGTACTAACAACACAAACGCGTACACCACAGATAAGAAGGGTTACACATGAAAACTATGACATACCTATACAACCACCCTTCGGGTGAAACAGATATTTGAGAGGAGGCACCAACGTCCTACTCAATCGATCTCACTATCGATCTCACTACCGATCTCACGGTCGACCCTAGCGTTATCAATCTCACTATCGAAATCCTTATCGAAACCAGTACCGTTCTCTCACTCTCGCTCTCACGCTAGATCTCATTCCCGATCTCAATACAAATTTCACTTTCGATCTCACTATCGATCCCACTATCGATCTCATCACCAGTGGGACACCCACTGGAAACCGACGGGACACCGACGCGACCCCGACTGGACACCACGGCGGGGCACCCCTGGCCACCGCCCGCGGCCACTGACGCGACCCCGACTGGACACCACGTCGGGACACCCTCGGCCACCGCCCGCGGCCACCGACAAGACACCGACGGGACACTACGACGGGACAACCCCGGCCACCGCCCGCGGACACCGACGGGACGCCGAGGGGACACCACGGCGGGACACCACGGCGGGACACCACCGGCCACGCTGGCCCACCGGATGCGCGGTTCTTTATCTTGACCCGCCCTAGCCATCGAGTCATTCCTCTCGCTCGCCCACGCAGCTTCGCCACGTCCGCACGCAAGTCTTTGTTGGGGGGGTGGGAGCGCCAACACTTTGCACCATCCTCACGCTAGGATTTCTCGGTGTGGGTTTTTTTCGTTCCACTTCGATCTCACCCCACAACCTCCGACATGACTTGAACACCATCCAAGGTAAGCTGGGCAAGTAGCATAGTCCCACCAGCCCTCTGGGCGTCGGTGGTTTAGTGCGTTTCCTCTTCCACCCCTCCCTCTTCCCCTTCGGGGAGGGGTTTATCACTGTTCCTTATTAATAAAAACCCCCTCCCCCAGGCGACTGGGGGCCAACCCAGGTCCATGACGCCCCCCCCCCCACAATCCCTTGTAAAAAACAATACGTAGCACCCCGCAATTGCGGATAAGAGTGAGGGGGCGGGCGCGGGCGACGCGGGCGTCGTCGAGCCGGCGGACCTCGTGGCCCCCCACCTTCCTTGTCGATGGCGCTCTTCTCCTCCTCCTCCTCCTCCTCCTCCTCCTCCTCCTCCTCTTCCTCGTCCTCGTCCTCGTCCTCGTCCTCATCGTCATCGTCATCCTCCTCCTCGTGTTCTTCCTCGTCCTCCCTCTCCCCCCCTCGTCCTTTCATCATCGTCCTCCCATTGTCGTCCTCCCCCTCATCGGCCTCCATCATCGTCCTCCCAGTGTCGTCCATCATCATCATCATCATCATCATCATCATCATCATCATCATCATCATCATCATCATCATCATCATCATCATCATCATCATCATCATCATCATCATCATCATCATCATCATCATCATCATCATCATCATCATCATCATCATCATCATCATCATCATCATCATCATTATCATATCATTAGCATCAGCATCAGCATCAGCATCAGCATCAGCATCAGCATCAGCATCATCATCATCATCATCATCATCATCATCATCATCATCATCATCATCCCCCTCCTCCCCCTCCTCCCCCTCCTCGTCCTCCTCCTCCCCCTCCTCCCCCTCTTCTCCCTCCTCGTCCTCCTGCTCCTCCTCCTCTTTCTCCACATTCTCCTTACATCCTCTCTTCTTCCGCGTCCTCCTCGTTCCCTGCTTACTCCTCCTGCCTCCCCCTCCTGCCCCAAGATCACGGCAACGGAATCCTTGTTTCCACTTTATGCTCCCCAACTTCTCTGATCAAGGCAACTCGCAAGGGCAAAGTTGCTGGACGGGCTGGTGTGGATGCGCGGGGCTTGAAGATGTCCTTGCGGGCTCAGACGGCATGCAAAAAATCCGCCGCCGCGTTTGTGCGGCATTGGTTTGTTCAGTGAACGTGGTTTGGGTCGCGGGTGGGTCGCGGGCTCTCCACCTCCGCCTGGAAGGAATGCAAAAGCAGCCCGCCGCAGGCGCCAAAAAAATTGGTTTGTACACTGAACGTGGTTTGGGTCGCGGGTGGGCCGCGGGTTCTCCACCGGGAACGAATGCAAAAGATGCTCGCCGCAGGCGCCGAAAAAAATGGTTTGTACACTGAACGTGGTCGCGGGTGGGCTGCGGGCTCTCCTTTTGAAGCGACTGCAAAAGATGCCCGCCGCAAGCGCCGAAAAATGTGGTTTGTACCCTGAACGTGATTTGGGTCGCGGGTTGGTCGCAAATTGGTCATGGGGTGGGTCGCGGGCTCTCCACCTGGAAGGAATGCAAAAAAAAAACCGCCGCAGGCGCCGAAAATGGTGGTTTGTACCTTGAACGTGGTTTGGGTCGAAGGTGGGTCGCGGGTGGGTCGCGGCGTGGGTCGCGGGTGGGTCGCGGGTGGGTCGCGGGTGGGTCGCGGGTGGGTCGCGGGTGGGTCGCGGGGTGGGCCGCGGGTGGGTCGCGGGGTGGGTGCGGGTGGGCGGTGGGTCGCGGGGTGGGTCGGGGTGGGTCGCGGGGTGGGTCGCGCGGGGGTGGGTCGCGGGTGGGTCGCGGGTGGGTCGCGGGGTGGGTCGCGGGGTGGGTCGCGGGTGGGTCGCGGGGCGGGTTGCGGGTGGGACGACGACAACAAACAACAACAAACAACAACAAACAACAACAAACAACAACACGAATCCGCACCGCGGAATTCCACTTCAGCCACGCACCCAGGGACCGTGAATGACCGTTCGGCCCCCACACTCTGACAAACACACACTCTGCCTCCAAATTCGGAACATGCGCAGCCAACCCGATGCGCCCCCCCCACCCCCCACATCCCTCTCAACAGAAACAATACAGAACACACTTGGCGGAGGCGGCGGCGGCTGCGGCGGCGGTTGCGGCGGCGGCGGCGGCGGCGGCTGCGGCGGCTGCGGCGGCGGCTGCGGCGCCGGCGGAATACAAACACACACTCTGCCTCCAAATTCGGAACATGCGCAGCCAACCCGATGCGCCCCCCCCCCCCCCCCACACACACACACACCCACCATCCCTGTCAAAAAACAATACAAGGTACACTTGGCGGAGGCGGCGGGCGGCGGCTGCGGCGGCGGCTGCGGCGCGGCGGCGGCGGCGGCGGCGGCGGCGGCGGTGGCGGCGGTGGCGGCGGCGGCGGTGGCGGTAGCGGCTGCGGCTGCGGCGGCGGCGGCGGCGGCGGAGGCGGCGGTGGCGGCGGCGGATTGGCCCCCACTAGCTACCCATCCAAAAACGACTGCTGAATATGCTGAGGCTCGGGCCGGATTCGGGTGCTACGATGTGTTGGGAGGGCGGGTGGGAGTGAGCGAGACAGCTTGCGGGCGGGGGGGGGGGGTCTTGACCTCTCCCCCTACCCCGTCCCCGTGGACCTGGACGGGGGGGGGCGCGAGCGGTCAGGGCGTCCAAAACGGCCTCGGCGAGGAAGCCAAAATCCGTTATTTCACTAGGGTTTGGGTCCCATATTGGCCTCCTGAGGGGGCAACCCTAATTGAAAGTCCCCTCTTCTTTGATCGATGTCCTCCAAGATGGCCCCAAGAAGCGCCCAGGAGGCCCCAAGAGGCCCCAAAATGGCCCCAAGAGGCCCCAGGAGGCCCCCAGGAGGCCCCCAAGAGGATCCCCAGCGGCCCAAAGAGGCCCCCCCGAGGCACCCTAGACGCCGAAAAGCCCCTCAGGACGACCTTCTACTCGCCTGGGCGTCGTTTCTGGATGTGCTGGTGGGGATATTTTTTGAGTCCGCGGCCGTAGGCGAGCGCGCCAGTGGCGAGTCCAGTCAGAGCGGGGCGCGCACAGACGAATTAACATAAAGCGGTGGGCCGGAGCCTCACGCGGCACCTCAGCGGCCAGGCCGGCGAGTGGGAAGGGGCTGACAGGCTGGTGGGGATGCGTTTTGAGTTTTTTTTTTTTTTTTTTTTTTTTTTTTTTATATTATTATTATTATTATTAGTATTCTTATTAG